TGTCCAACAGCAGCCTTGTTAAAACAGAAATTTTGCCTGTCTAATTTAGCTTTTCTTAGACCTCCCTATTAATCTGGGATTTCAGATGGCAACTTGATCAGCCACAATCTGGAAAATCTGCTAAAGTGCAAGAAATCCCAGCCATCTATGGGCTGCTTACTCCTCAGTGCATACACACTAAGTCTGGTGCTTCCAGACAATTTTTAACTTTCTGGCCACACCATGCCCTTCTGGGATGCACAGATCTGGTGCTGTCAGGCAAGCTGTGCATGAGTATATTAGGGCTAACAGAGTAGAACAATACCTGTGTGCATTGTGGGGCTTACTGCTGACCACCACGTTGCCATGTGCTTCTGTCCAGGGTATGCCAGACAGGAATAAAGAAGCGCTGTGTGAAGCATGGAAGCACTGCAGGATTCAAAACCAGACTTCCTCCCTGCTTTGTAGCAAACCCAGTAGCAGGATGAAAGAGTAATTTCTCTCTCTTCTGCTCCCCTCAGTGTCTTTATTATTCTGCACAACACGAAGCAGCTTTGTGAGGCTGAAGACAGGTCCTTGAAGGCGAGGCAGGCTGTAGGGACAGGGTCAGTGAGTGCTGGATTCTGTCACACAAGCTACTCTGGTGCTAATACCTCAAAGTGGAAATTTTTTTTTTTTTCTTTCTTAAAAGGTCCAGAGGCCTCTTCTGTGCAGGGACAGATCTGCTGGGGATGCTCTGGCACCATCTGGCTGGCCAGATGGACAGGGAATACCTAGGCTGACAGTGAGGTGAGTGCATCTGTGGTAACAGCGTCAGTCAGCACGCCAGGGACAGGGGGTATGTCCATGACAGTACTGTGACATGGAGATAACCACCCTGTGCTCTGGGGTGCACAGCCCAGACACATCTTACACGTAAGAAACAGTCAGAAATAAGACACATTTTTAAAAGAGGCCTATGCCAACAGAGTGAGCACATGGTAAGAACAGTCAGTTTTCTTGGTCTTCATCATAAAACCTTTAAGTGTTTGAAAAATTAATGTTTAGATAACCAATCTGTATTATCAAAAATAATTTAAAAATTTAGAAAAGTGAACTACTGGAAACAAATGTAAACTGAAGTACCAGGATTATGAAGGATTTCAAATTCTAAGGCACTCCATAGTCCATTCTTTTTTTCAGTCAGACATGACTACAGTGTACCTATGGAATTCAGATAGGTTATCTGAACTTATGCTTTCCCTGTATTTAGAGACCTCCTGAAGTCTGCATCTTTTGATGTATTTGCCACGTGATTAAAAAATAGATGAAAAACTTTCTGTCATTTGATAAATAAGGTTCAGAAGAAGCCACATTTGCCTGTTGAGAATAAGTATTTCTCTACTTCCCACATGTAAGAACATTTGCACACAATGTTACAGGTTTCAGTGCAACTTCTGGTTCAGCAGAACATACAAATAAAAAAAGTTTGTGAAGGACAAAAATATATTCTGAGATAGCTTTTCACTAGGAATATGGTCAATGGTGGCTATGTTCAATATGGAACAGATGGCTCTTGGTCACTGTGTTACATTCCCTGACCTAAAATTTACCATATGAACCAGTTTACTTACTGATCATATTGGGAGAGGCTAAAAAATGGATGTGCCAGAGTCTGACTGTCCTTCTTCTGTCCAGATCAGGAATGAGACAGCGGTAGAGCAGAAGTATAAAAGTGAAAGCAGATTCTAAAACCCACCATTGGAAAACTGTTATTTGTACCAAGCATTCAGCAGAGGCAGCATTTGGATACAGATGTACCATGTAACCTCATTCCTGAGAGAAGAGCCCTGTCAGACTCAAAAAATAATGTTTAGCATGGGAAAGAAAGGTGTTGTTTCTTCCATACAGAGGAGGAGAACAGGAGAACTCCTCCCTGTCCCTTTCAGCAGGTATGCAGTGAGATGGTCCTTGTTGCTGGAGATATTTTTTTTATTACAGAGAGTTTTCAAAGACTAGGTTGTTTTGAGAGAAGTACTCTTTGTCTGTCTTTCCTCCACTCCCTTCAACCAGAGCAGCCAAGGACGGTGAACCTGAATGTTGAGAAATGTTACCTGAGGGCACAGAAGGAGACCCAAGTCAGAGGAAAACAAAATAGTTAGGTGGATTAAGTGGGGTGAGCTCATGAAGCTTCTTCATAAACAGAAATGACAGGCTAGCTTGGGAAAATAAAAATTTCCCTAAGCATACCTGACAGCAAAAGCTGACTGATCAATAGGAGCAAATGTGTAGTGAACCGTACGACGACAGAAAGCCAAGTAAAGCTGTCCTCTGGACTTTGCAAAACAAACCAGGTAAGGGAAAGCACCTGGGCCCTGCTAAGGAAAGAGCCATGCTCATGTATGCAAAGTGCCACCCCAGCTACTTGCAGAGAAGCCTGAGTGCATGAGGGGAGCAAGAGACAATGACTTCACTGGGTCCCAACAGAAAGCATGGGCTTTACCTTCGTGGCACAAGGTCCTCATTCCTCATGTTCTTCCTGTGAGATCCCTTCTAGTAAGACTACAAATTCAGACTACAGCAATCAAAACACTATTGCTATTCAACATTAAACATTTTCAGAATTACCTTTGTGCTGGCTGTCCACACACACGTGGAAATTTTCACATCTCTTTTTTATGCACAGAAGCTTCCTGCTATTTCTGCACAATATTCTTGCTAGAATCCAGCCACCCTATTTCCATCACCTATTTTTTCATCACTGGCTTCTGTTTTGCCAAGTTTATTAATCAAGAAGATGGATGTCAGGGTTTACACATGTTTTTGAAGTTCCCCAAGACAGAACAAGATCTCAATGGAAACAGGAATCCTACATGATGTTTTCTCAACAAGCCGTAACCAGCTTGACCATTCAACAAGCCACAACAAATCCAAACTTAATTCAAAGCACAAATTGACTTTTCCAGATTACCATTAATTTTTAATTATATTAATAACTGTACAAATTCATATTTTGAATGGTTAATGTTACCCTCTAGAGCCTACAGAGGACTATCAAAGCAGAAACTTTAATGTTTTGCAGATCAGAGTGTTAAGAAAAGCCAATACATTATTAGTGTCTCACAAAAAAATCTTTGGATCCCAAAACCTTGAAACTTTGCTTGATATCCAAATTTTACAAATGAGTAGTCTTTAAAACGAAAAGACCCAAACCCCAATTACTTAAAACAAACCTGGGTTTGACCAACAAACCTGGGTCAGTGTTTATCTGGGTACCCTATAAATGTTATGGACCACTTCTACCCTTGAAAAGGCAGTTCAAGCACAGCAAGATTAGGCATGCATCCACCTTACAAAGTTCAAGCACCCCTCTATCCCAGTATTTTTAAATCTTAAAAAAAAAGGTCAGATCATCATAAAAAGACTTAGTAGCTCCAAGTCAGCCAAAGAGGGATTCTCAGGCAGAAGCATCATGAAAGAAATCTGTAAGGTTGATGACACAAGTTCCCATGCAAACCAAGATGCACAGACCAAGTGTGCCATTCCTCGCCAACTCCTCTGTGTGCTGTTCTATACAGCACCCCCAAAAAAGGAGCCACAGTACAGACTGGGCTCTGAAAGAGCTTGCTACCTCTTTCAACCTTGTGAGTTGTTAGCATTAAGTTACGCCACTGACCTTGGGTCAAGATTTCACACTGAATGGCTTATCCTGTCTTACACAGGAAATCTGCAAAAAAGCTAGAACTGAACCTGCAGATGCAGATTTTATCTTTCTTTTCTCAGTCATAGCTCCGACCTTCCTTGAAAGAGGGGGGAAATATGCATCTGTTTAATTCTGAGTATGGATGCAAATTTTACAGTTTTCAGGTATGTGTTTATTTATCTGATGATTTCAAGTTTTCCATTAATAAAAAAATTCAAAGTTTCTACTCAACAGACTTTAGATTGCAACTGTAGGTGAACTCATTTTTGAAAGAGCGTGATTTTGCTGAGGAAATAATTAGCTTCATTTTGATAAATCCTGTTCTGCCAAATGACTATGGACATACACTTCAAACAATAAAATAATAATTTTTTAGATCAAGCTACAGCTCCTAGGTTAATCAGTCTCCTACAGGAAGTCTTCATCTCTGCTTAAACTGAACCTTTTCATTGATATGAAAGGGATAGGACTGTAAATGTTCTTTCATCTATGTTGCACAATAGCTCAACTTCCTCCTTAAAAAAACCAAATCTGCAAGAAAAGAGGATTATTTCTCTCTCCCTTTTCCTTCATCATGATCTTTCTTACACCTTGCCGTAGGCTATCCTGTCATTTTCAGATTTTTGACTCCCTGACGAAACAGAGTATAATCTTTCTCACAGAGGTTGCTGAAAGCATCAGGGAGGCAGTTTTGTGCCTATCTGTCCATGGGGAGCATTTATATTCTGTCCACACAGGTATGTTTCAGAATTAACAATAATAACTTTTTCAGAGTACTCCAACAAAAAGCTGCCTCCAAGATCAGGGATGACTGTGCCATAAAGTTAAATCACTCATTCCACCACAGGCAATGAATTAACCGAGAGTTTAGGAATGTGATTGAAGAGTTACAACTGAGTTAGTGCAAAAAGTTGCATGCTAAAATGTAGGGGTGTGCCCAGAAGTTGTGTGGAGGCTCTACATGCTTTATCAAGCAGGAGTCAACACAGGCACTCTAATGTTTGGCTTAAAGCAACAGCCAGGTTGGCTTCAGGTGGCCTGAAGACAAGCACAGACTATGACTTGATTTTCCAACGTGAGTGTGATCCCTGACATGAATTAAAATAAAAAACCAGAACTAGTAAGAACTATTGCAAATACACAAAAAAACCCACTGAAAATTGGTGAAGCACATAACAAATGCAAAGATTTTTAGGTGTAACAAAAGAGAACACTGTCCTTTTGAAAGGTTAGTGACTACCTCCTTTCATTCTTTGGGTGCTGTCTGGTTATTTATAAACAGCACACCCGCAGAAATAGCTACATGCCTTTTGTCTAATTAAGTGTAATCCAGTCTTACCTGGCAAGTCCATATTGACGTGATAATGAATCCATCATCTCTGAAGACATTGAAGATTTCAATGATGCCCCGTGAATAACCAAACACGGAGATACTGGCGTCTGACACTGCCAAGTTAAATGTGAGGTAGTCGGTAGGCTGCAGGAGATGTCTTTGTTTATACAGGACAAAAATCACAATGCTGTTTCCAAACCAAGACAACCAACCTGTAAAAAAAAATTAAATCCTTGGAACCTGTTGATCTTTAAAGTCCCTTCCAGCTCAGTCCATTCTATGATTCTATGAAATCAAAAAGCAAACAAAGAAAGAGGCTGTTGAGTGCATAAATGTATGATATATCTTCTAAAATACCGTTTTGTTCCATTAGAAGCATATTAAATCATATTATCCACTAGAAAACTATGCATGAAACCTTTTTGAGCAGCTGGGTACATTTCAGAAGTAGGAGCAACTGAGTAATTGAGTGGAGCAATAAAACAGAACAAACACAAAGAGCTGCTGCTACACCTATTGAAGATGTCCTGTTTAAGGGCCTAAAGTGGATTTTTTCGCTTAAGTTTTTTTCCTTAAGTGGATAGATGAAACTCATAAGTGTTACGCCTGGGAAAAATAGGAAGGAAGAAAAATCAGTAGAGTGGTAGCAGAAACTACAAAAAATCCGCCAAAATCTGCAGCTGTTTAAGTTCCTCATATACAATAATGGATACAGAAAGTTCATGCATGTAGCCAGAGAGCTGCTTCATCAGTTCTCCTTAGAAAAGTGCAGCTCATACAACTAGGTTTCTTCTCTTAGAACGATCTAGAACAATCCTTGTAGCAAAGTCTGTTCCAGATGGGAATACTTTTCAGTAGTGCACATGATAATCCATATGAAGACAATATTTGGAATAGAACTTCAAAGTGTCTTTTATTTAATTTTACAGAAAGTTACATTCTCTCTTGCTCTCCAGGAACAGAGATGTCTGACTGCTAAGTGTGTAAGTATGTGAGCAAAACACAAGGGAGATAACTGTAAAGCTGGTGAAAATCAGACACTTCCTCTGCTGGAGAGACCTAGAGTTTCCATATGTCCACAGCTATTGCTCTGCCCATCAGTGCAAGACCCTGGTAGCTTGCATCCCAGTTTTTGAAATTAGATAGATGTGGAGAGATGAATGACTTTTAGCAGAAAGGATAGTGGGAAATGTCAGGTTCAGTGTTGAAAATGTGGCTTAGTCAGTTAAGGGAGTGGAGGGCTGAGCAGCATGTCAGGCAGCCCTGGCTCCCTGCTGGCTCCTGCTTCTATCCCACAAACCAGCTCTGCCACCTGTGACATTGATGGCCTCACTTCACCTTGGCAAGGTAGAACAAGACATGACCTCTTTTGAGTGTCTGCTGCCTATGACAGGATAAGGAATGCAACACCTGGTGGCTTACGCCAGGTTCCAGTATTACCAGCTGAGGGAGAAAAGCGCTGACCCCCAGCCCTCTGCCCAGGCACAAGCAGTAGATACCCCAGAGTGAGGCTGCTGCATATTGGCACAGCAAGAGATGAACAAACACAAAAAAGGGGGATGTGACATGATGGCACTGCACAACATCTCTGGATATTCAAAGGAATCTGTGTGATGAAAGATAGCTGATAGGTTTAATGCTGTAGCAAGAGGGCAGCTGGCTTCCTTCAGGAAGCACTATTTCCACCTGAAGAATCCAGAACTTCACTGCCAGGCTGCTGTGGCTAGGAAGGGAGGAAATTACCTCTCAATCTCCAGGCCACGTGGGAGTCTCAGGAGCTGAAATGCCAAAGAGTAAGGCACCTGTTCTGTAAAGAAAGAGATTGGGCAGATACCTCCAGTGAGGTGCCCTGGGTATTTTGGAGTGGGAGGAAGGTGGTTGATGGGACAGTCTCCGTATGGCTCTATGAACTGCTTCTTCTGTGGAGCAATTGACTTTTAACAGTTTTTCTTTGCAGCATTGCCAAGCTGCTGCTGCTCTGCCTTGTTCAGTAAATACACAAGGTTTACTGAAGAGCCTTTGAACTGGGAAGAGCTGAAATGTCAGCATATGGTGTTGACCAGAAATAGCTGGTGCAATGATACACTGAGATACACACATACCTTTTATATATACCTTGTTACAAGGTCAGCAATAATAAATATATCTCATTCTGGCCACTAGGTGACAATGTTTCTTAATAAAGTCTTGTTTTAAACAACTGCATACACTTTAACTCAGGGATTTTCTGAATTTTGTTTGTGTCTAGTTATTATAAATACCTATAATACATATAGGCAGAGCAGGGTACTGGGGAAGGAGGGCTTTGGGAATTAATGAGGATAGCCTTCAATGCCAGCACGGCAGTTGTGCTGTTCGTGTATGTTGGTTCTACCCTCTGCAAGGTAAGACAGTTATCAAGGCAGTAGGTATGAAATATTTTTCCCTGTCCACATGAAGACATAGTGCTAAAATGACAGACAAAACAAAATGGAACCACCTTTGTAAATAGCAAAACTTCGCCAGTTCAGTGTAATGCATAGGAATGCTACCCGCGCAGTGTCAGACACCTGCCCTTCCTGGGATTTACAGAGCAAATTCCCCCTAGCCTGGAGGGTAAGGGAGTTTTCAGTTAAAGTGTCTTAAGGAAGAACTTGAGCAAAACATCACGTCAGACAACACTGCACATTTTAGAGCAATGAGAGGTGACAGAGACACAGTACTTGTGATAATCTCTGGGAGCTAGATTCACAGACTGAGGTTGGAGATGTGGGAAGCATTGAGGGAGATAAGAGCAAGTATGATTTCTGCATGTAGGCACAGTCCTTTTCAGCACAGCAGTGGAGAATCTGCACTGGCATAACCAGTCCCTAAAATGGTCAGCCTGGGTAGTAGACCATACTAATTTGGATTTTTAAAAAAAAGAAATAGAAGAAAATCAATTCTTAGTAAACCATGCAGTAACAGAATCAATGGTCACATAAAAGTGGTGCCAACCAGAATGGTGACTATGGGACACTGGTTCTCTGTGCCATCAGATACAAGTGCTAGTCTGGGTTGTTGTCTGTATTGACTGATTGACTTAAAAAACCCCAAACAGACACCCAAAACAGAAAATCACCCCAACCAACAGAATGCCTCAAACCAAACAACCCCTCTCCCTTCCTCCCTGCCTTGGCAGCATAGCAGGGAAGAAGGTCAAAAATGCAAGGGAAGCACAGCAATAGCTCTGACACTCTCAGCGAGAGCAGAGACCTCAACTGCACTGCAGGTGGTGTGTGCCTCAGGAGACATCAGAGGTAGATCAAGAGCCCAGAAAGAAACTTCTGAACTTTGAAGTGCCTCCATGTTACCAGGCGTCATCTCAGTAAAGCAGAAGATAGAAAAGAAACAACTGAGGGAACTTGTTCCATCTTTTGCAAGCTGTCACTAATGTTCGCTCATAAGAGTATGCAGAAGAAACCCCAGACCAAAAACCAAACGTACTAAGGCAATCGTGGTGAATAAAGATTTAAACTGAGGTCAAAATGTGGCAAGAGAGAAAAAAAATAGCAGCTAGGTAGAAACTGAGCACTGTCACCCAGCATAGGGTTCAGAGGGATCACCATATCTTTCCCATAAGCACAGTCTGAAATAGGTTGTTCATCAGAGAGATGCTGGATCTTCTGACATGGCAAGTCAAGATACAATACACAAGTAAAATGCAACTACTGAAGTAGTTTTGCAAACATAGTGAGGTAGGAGGAATAGGATGGACATCAGTATTAAAAATGTATCACCCCTATATAATTCAGTAGTAATCCTTCTCCTGGAACAACACTCCCTAAGAGAGCATTTTAATTCACAGATATCAAAAGCACTCCACAAGGGAATCTGGTGCTGTTATCCATGATTTCTTGGGGAGGTACAGGCAAGCTGCCAAGCAAGCTGGTGAAAGTCAGCTTGCTTGGAAGCCCTTCAGCTATTAACAAACTCCTGTGTCAGTGTGATGCCCAGCAGCCCGTGCACAGAAAGCACCAGAAAAGTAGCCAGAAAGAGTGACTAAGGAGACTGAAAATCTTTCTGCTGAAGACAACTGAGAACACTGAAATTAAATCCAAGAATATTGAAAAAATACATTATAATTTTACAAATATTTCTATCCAATCACTCAAGCCTGTGCATTCAGACATGCCCTATTTTTCTCTCATGTACCTGAGATGGTCTTTGAACAGGCAATAAGCAGCTGAGGTTGCATACAGTTTCATTGTTAACATTCTTTCTAGAGAACTAAATCTGGCACAAGTGAATTGGTAGCTCTGAGCTGGTCATCCACATTTCCAATAGATTAGTTCACCTGTACCCAGCCAAAATAGGTTATTATGCTTTCTACTTAGACTTGCTCTTGTTAGACACTGTTGCATGGCCTTTTCTTGTAAAACCTGGCAAGACTGAAATAGAAAAATGGGTGTTGCAACTCAGCCATATGCAGTTTAAAATATATATGAATCCCTTAAGTGAAAGAATTCAAGAAATGAGAGCAAAAGGTGAGGCTCGGCATCACAAGACAAACTAGGCTTTTTCCTCAGCAAATAGCCTTTCTCTAGGACAGGAACTGGATTGAACATCTTAATGCAGAGCAGGCATGAATGAAATCAGTTACTTACCAACTACATATACAGAAGCATAAATGCCTATCAGAAGAGGCTTGCTGCAAAAGATTTTCCGCCCAGAAAACTTTAATTAAAACAGTGATAAAATCCAGAGAATTTGCAAAGCTGTCATTAACTATTGCAACTGTGAAGTGACCCTACTCTGTTTTCAGTCTTCACTGCCAATTATACACACACAATATCCTGTCCAGGGCATATTGCCAGTTCTGGCAGGAAGGAGAAGAGTCATCTTGTTTTAGACTTGACAAAGCATGGAGAGATTATTTGTTCAATAAATGCAATCATTTTGGGGATGAATGTTCCGTGAATAGCTTGTTTCCTTTCCCACCTTCTCAGATTTATCTGTCAAACAAAATCCCAAAATAACACTCATTCTGTCACTTGTCAAGTAACAGTTTACTATTGCCATTCGGAAGTGTGTGCCTTTTTAAAGGCATGTTTGGATCTTGTGGTCTGTTCTGATGGGATTGGTAATGCACTCAGCATGCCTTTCTGATGGAAGCACTCCAAAAAGTCAGAATTTGTTCTCTAATAAGTACTCTCTCCTATCGACTTGAAATTTCCTTTTATGCCCTGTATTTACTCTAACAGGCCCAGTTAAATGTGGAACTAGGGGAAACAAATAGAGAACAAACTGTGTAAAAATGCAGAAAAAAAACCAACTTAAGAATTCCAGTTAATAATTATGAAGCAAAAAATGCTTTATATTTTTCCCCCATGTCTAGCATCCAGCAGCAGTGGGCAGTGCTTTTAAATTGCACCTCGTAATTTAAACTGTAGAATGATGCAGTACTGCACCACTTATAGCATAGGAAAAAAGAGGTCAGATGCAATCCCAGCAGCAGGACAAGCTTTCACCTGTCTGTTAGAGACAGTTCTGAGCTCATTGAAGGGAAGGATGGGAGCAGAGTGCTGCCTTCAGAAAGAGGATGCTGACGAAGGTGACCTAGCACAGGGTAACACCGCGGTTGCTATCACTTGCAGATAGTCCCTCTAAGAATGGATCACTGCTGTCAGATGGGCATTGCACCTTCTCCTCCCACTTTGCTGGTCCCCTGGCCAAAGCATTAGCAAGGAGAATGATAGAACAGTGGCTTGGGTGTCAAGAAGCAGTGCAGTGATCTTGATGTCCATCGGCATTTGCAAAATGCACCACATATTTCCTGCTGGTTTGCTCGTGCTGTCAGTGTGCCACACCACTGTGATCAGGCTTCCCTGCAGGGTGCTGAGGACCTCTCATCTGGATCCAAAAGTGCCTGGCTGCTGTACCACATACAACATGTACATCAGTGCCCTGTCTGTCACAAATGACAGCTGTGCTATCTGTGACCTTTGAGAATTTCCAGAAGGGGACACACAGAGGCCTTATCTCAGCAAAAGGTGTTAGATCATGGTTCTTGGATATTCATGTCCTCTGTCAAGATGTGTGACTCTGGGAAGACTTGGCCAAATATAGTTAGGTTTTTAGGACTTGATCCAGTGAAGGTGAGGCAGTTCAGGGGAACCCCATCTTCTGGAAAAATGCTAATACCAATCACATACATACTCTTAGGTTTTGGAAAAATACAACAGAATTTGCAAGAAGCTGCACTGCCTTACACAGATTCAAGAGAAAAAAACCATTTAATAACTACAGAAGTGTAATCACTGAAGCCATTTTCCAAGGCATCCAAAACCCAAGAGTATCAAATATGAACATCTTTGGGGTTTTGTGTAAGGAGGTATCCACAGACTCCTGCAAATGTAGATTGTCTTCCCAGACCCCTAAAGCACCAGAGGTACAGGAAGCTAGTGCATGGACTGGCCTTTTTTCTCTGCTGCCAGAAGGGCAAGAGGATGAATGTATGACAGAGAACTTGTTCTGCCACATCACAGCTCCCTGGATAGAACGAGTTATTGGTGTACATAAAACTAATAACTATAAATTGCTGTGGCTGGTGCTTGCAGGAGAGCAACAGTAGACCTTTGAGGAGAAAAGAAATTAGGACTTTCCTGATTTATGTATGACTAACAGAACTTTTCAAAAGTTATTTCCAAAAGGTATACCCACATCCATAAATTTTTAACCAGATCTACACTACACTTAACTTGGAGGAGTGCTACTGCTGGTTGTACATACTCTCCAGGAAAATGAACTTGAGTTTTGAATCTTGAGGTAAGTTTCAAGAAAAGCAGCTATGACATGCAAAGCAATTGTAAGCTTGGCTGAAGGATATGAAATCAAGCCCAAACAGCCGAACGGCTCAGGCACCTAGGTATTTGCTAGAAGATGTGAGATCACTACCAGGAAGCATCAGAGAAGAACATCTCTGGTGGTTCATTGATGGAAGAAGTTTGGACTACCAGTGTGATGCAGAAGCAATACTGGGCGGGATCAGTAGAGCTGAGAGAGTGTAAATATGAATATGAATAGTGATAGCAAGACCTTGCTTGGAAGCTGTATTCAGTCGTGGCTATAAGGCTGCTGGGATGACAGGGGAAAAGGGGAAAACATGTTATGAGAGGAGATAAATAAAGATAATTACCCCCTGCCCCCGCAATCAAAAAAAATAAAATTCCCTCAATTGCTTAATATAAGAATACAGAGGCTGACCTCAAGGAATGTTCCTTCAGGAGCATAGATTGACCGTAGGATGTCACTTGCAGGCAAAAAAATTATTTCAATTAAAAGGGGTGACCAAAAATTGTATAAAGCTGTTGTGATCACTTTAGTTAAGAATTTAGGCAAAGGTGCCTGTCCAACAGAGAAAAAAATCTTGAACATAATTTCAATTGGAAGAGTGATAACAACACCAAAAAAATCCCTAGCCAGTTATATGAGGGAGCATAATAGCTGTGTAAATGGGATTATACATTGTCTCAGCAGGGGACTGGCCTTGCTGACCTAAGATGTTCTTTCTAGTCTTAAGTGCAACTGCTTAATTCTTTAGCTGATGGTGCAGCCATTTCCCAGCCATTCACAAGGAGATATGCAGATGTGAACAGACAGGGGATATATTGGAGTACCTCTGATTTACTATACAACCACTCTCCTAATCAACTCTCTTAAGATAGAAGCCATACATATTTCTACTAGAATCTCTGGTTTTGTTCTAAGCACAATAAAAATAAGAAAGTCTCATGTAAACATATTAAAATACTTAGCATTTAACATTATAACTTCCACAGGCCTTTGTCAAGTGTAAGCAGAGGGCTAATAAGTTAATTGAAATATGTAATAAGTTTAGGAAAAAAAAATCTTTTAGGCCAATCATTTAAAAACAGAAACATTTTTGTACATGCTATTTAGAAGAACAGATTTAATAAAAGCTAATTTTTTTTCTATTTTTCTGTGAAGTTCTATGGTTGAAATTTTTTATTACCTAGCATGCTTGCACTCTTTGAAATTTCATAGTTTCCTTGTGTCAGGCAATAAGCCTGCCCAAAATAGCTAATATTTAAGCAAACAAAACAAAATTTCAGTGGCATCAGAGTGCATTTATACTGAGTGTCATTTTCAAATCCCTGTTATACACTTAAAATAGCTGTCTTGCAGCAGAACTAAAAGAAACACTTGGTATTGTGACTAACACAGGATAAGGTTCCAGTACCTAGATATTTCTTAGATCCTGTTTGCAGAAGTCAATTTCTATATGCATCCAGCATTTAAAGCAAGAACAGTACAAACAATTAAAATTAAGAACCACAAGATACATTTTGTGACTCTCCAGATGTTTGTAGGATGCCAACTGACTGCCAACAGCCACAGCTCTGAAAATCAGGGAACATTTTTTCAGTGCTACTAAAACACAGGAAGACACAGAATGATCATGTACTTTTGATAAGGTACTTCTTTTATCTCCTCACATATTAAGCTTAATGAACATTAGTTGAAAGTTTACAGGCTTGACTATTTATTTTTCCTCAAGATTTCTGCATTGATTATAAATCTCTTTTTTAACAAAAGCAAGCTGTACCTCTCTGATCTTGCAATTGCTGGAAAAGAAGTTACATTTTCTCCCATTGTATTCCATTAGGGATAAAACCCAAATTAATCACTTGGAATTTGATAAAAACATCTATTTAAAAGTTTCCTTTCACACTCAAGCCAAATACCTACCTAAAGCCAACAGGTAGAAACCTATGATTGTCTCTCCTTGCTCTGTTACAGCTGCCTCTCTGGTCAGAAAACTGATGTTGTTGTTCCTCCAGGGTGCCTGTGCAGAAAACTGGACAGACATTTTCAGTGGAGCTTCTGGCCCAGAAATCACCCTTCCCCAGAATGTCCCGGTGAATAAAATGGTTCCAGCCTTTTCCTCAGTTTCTGCTCACTGTATTAAAGGGAGCTCTCAATAAGACTAATGATCTAAAGAAGGAAATCTCAAGGGACAGGAGCTTTGCAGCCTTCTGACCTATTCTTCTTCACTAATCCTATCTATTAATACAGCCTGTGAACCTGTGGCCAGCAAAAGACAGAAGATTTCCTTCTATCCTCATTACTGCTATGTGCAAAAATCTGTAATAAAGAGCGTGTATCTGAGACAAAGGAGACAACTTCCTTTAAAATAAGGTGACACCATATAACCTAAAGGCTCACAGGCACACCCACACCATACTGATATGCTACTTAGCTAGCTGTGCTTTCATTTTTTCCTTCATTAAAGATGAGCGGAATTTTAGTTCAAATGAAATTCAGGAAAAATCTCACACAAAGTAAAAAATGGCACAGTGAAAAAAATCAGGGAGGTGTCACCACCTGAGAATATGACTTTAACGTAGCATAAAAAATAATCTATTAACTTACTTTACCAGTGGGATAGTTGTTAATTTAAAAAGAAGGGAAGATAATTTACAGAATGGTTTGAAAAAAAATTTAAGCACTTCGGATCATATGTTTAGACTGCTAAGTACCCTCCAGTCTTGGAGTAAGCACCAAGTATGATGTGGGATTTTTCCCATACTGTTGAAAAATGAGATTTTGTTTTGTTGAAGTGCATGGGATTTGAGTTAGGCAGGAATACTTTTAGTCTTTTCTGAGGTATCAATGATTGTAGTTTAGACACGGCCTCTCTTACCAATCAGATTGTAGCCATAACTAAAAAACTTGAGTCTAAATTAATTCATCTGGAGCAGCAAAGTTTCCTGGTGAGCAACACATTCTCACTGCACTGAAATCGCTATGCCTGTCTTGCACTGGCTTTTCCCTTCTCACCCTGGGCAGCAAACTGGACCCAGTGGTGGGACCCAGCTGAAGGAAGCAGAGCACATGACTGTGAATCTCCCCTGTCCACAGGCTGAATTTGTCCTTCCTGGAGCAGACTGACTGCTCCTGTTAAGCTTTCCCTGTGTTTGTTACGGGAGTGGCACCACAAGGGAGGGGAATAAAGGTAATGTGACAAGAATGGAAGGGGAGAGCACTGATCTACAGTGAGGAGGAAGACACAACCATGTTGTCATGAAAGAGAGAAACCTTCCTGCTAAAGGTGAGGACACACTCGCTTCAAGCAAAGTGCCTTGCAAGGGTTGCAGGCTTGACTTGTCCCCAGCCTCTCACTCTTGTACCCAGTACTGGACTGCTGCTCTCTCTTCCTCCAACCTAAAGTCTGCAGGATGGGTCTGGCAGCTTCTACAGATCACATTTCTGCAGGCCTGATTTTCCCAGCCGCTTGCCACAGCCCACCTCCTGACTCCTTGTGAGATCTATCCACAGGCAGCTGGAGTTGAACCCTGACAAGCTTCCTAAAGTTCACTGCTTGGCAGACTGTGGTGGAGTGACCAGGACTTACCAGCTCAGTGATTAAAATTGGTCCTAGCAGTGCTCTTTAGGCCAAAGGCCTTCACTGCTGTGTGCCCACAACGGTTCCAGGTTGGCCACAATATTCCCACCCCACCTAGCTGCAGGCATCTCTTGACCATGCACACATCTCTCATGAGGCTGTCTGACGTGCCCAGTGTTGCAGTCTGCAACTTCAGGATCTCGTCCAGGGAAGCAGCAGGATTCTGGGGACCAGCATGGAGCACCAACGAGACGGGCTCCTGGTACATGAAACCATTTATTCAGCACGGGAACAAACTCAGATCCAGAACAGAGAGCCCCGCACAAAGGCCAAGCAGGGGTTTTTGAGGGACAGAACTCTTGAGGGTCTCCACCCTTGAGGGTGGAGTTCAGGGTCAGGGACCACTAGGAACACAACAAGGGAGAACCCCCCCAGGGACTCAAACCAAATCAGAGCTCCTGGGCCACCCTTCACAAGGGGTTTGGGGTGGGACAATATAACTCTTTGTCTTCCTCGAGGCACATCACCACAGCCCAGCACACGTGGACTTTTTTCTGCTGTGGTGCTGCTCTCTGAGGTTGCCGTTTGGGAACCCTGGGTCCCCAGCAAAGCCCTGGATGCTTTCCCAGGGAACATGTGCACAATCATGCATTTTAGCAATGAGCTGCAGCAGCCATTTCTAGATAGTTGTCCGCCCGTGAGAGGATCAGCTCGCTGCTCAGATGGAGGGGAGGGATAGAGTTCTTGCTGAAGGCAATGCCCACGGACATTCACAAATGCTCAAGAAGGCCCATAACAAAGCACAGCAATATCACTTACTTTCAGGACAAGGAACTTGGATCAGAGAAGAGGTCCACAGCATAGAATCCATCACAAAGTCTCCATTCATGAATGCACATGTCTTCATTGGAATGTATTTTATCAACTACCAAGAGAAAGATGTACGAAAGGATGACACTTCACACTGGGCAGAAACCCAGTCCATGCTCCCTCTACTCTCTTGCTGGAAATGAAACAGCAACACAACTTGTCCCATTTGTGGGACAAGTCCAAGGCCCCTGGACAAGACTCCTCATGTTAGTGAGAGTGAAGAGGAAAGCTCCCCAGGCGTTTCCCTGCAATGAGGCATACCTCACATTGTGCAGGTCCCTTCTGTGCAGCCAGGTATCCTGGGACAGGCTGTTTCCCACCCTGCAGGAATCCACACTCATGGCAAGCATAGTGGGTATTGACCACAGGCAGTGCTGAGGTGGTACAGCATGCTTGCTAACCACTTCCCTTTGTGCACAAGCAGTTTTCCATGGCATCTGACACAGGCCTGGACTTCCAAGTCTGAGTTTGGTGTCTGTTGTCACACTAGTGCTAGTTCTTCCTATTTTGATTAAACAGGGAAAAGGACAACCAGCAGAGAGGGGTTTTCATATGAGGAAACTGTATTGTTTACATAAATATGACCTCTCTAGGCATAAGTGCTTTAAATAGTAGTAAGTAACAATGCTAATTATTCCAAAATAAAAGACAAGTTATATTATTTGCCCTGATACCCTGAACTTGAATTTTGTTTTTTCCCAGCTGTGAGTTTCTTCTGGCTTCATAGAGGTACCACAGCTCCATTGCCACTTCAACTTTACATTTCAATGAGACAGTCTTCTGCCAAGCCTTATCCCTTGTAATAATAGTGAGAAGAAAGAGATAAAAAAAAATATATTTTTTTTTGTATTTAAGGAAAAAAAAATAAATCTGAGTAAACTGCTCTCCATGGTTAAGCATCCTTTCTGATGATTGTTTTCCCCCCACCCCGGTCATCACATCTATGAGAGATTAATGCCTTGACTGGCATGCAGTTTTCTCCCTCCCTCTGGTGGCATCCTCCAGTGAAGAACAGAGGCTTTGCAAACTGCTGTGGTTTGTTTGGTGGGTCTGCAGCTCACCGTGCTTCCAAACGAGAGAAAGGCTCCCTCTGCAGATTACAGGAGCCTTGTTTCACGTCTCTCGGTGCTCTGGTGGTGACCAATTTAGTGGCTTCACAGAGATTATCCCCGAGTGCCTTCACTATCTTCACAAAGTGCTTTGAAAGGATTAGAGCAGCATCTGCTATGGGCAGTTCTATAAAAGGACAAGAAAACGAAAATGCTGTGGTGGTACAGGGAAATTACTGTGTTTGACACAGCTGTGACTGTGGGAATGCATGCGAAAAATGGACTTGGATATGAAAGGATGCTAAAGCACCCCTTTCCTAAATCCGTAGGAGCTGCAGGCTGGGTCGGCAGAAGGGACACAAACAATGCGAGCTCGCCCTAGGACACTGTGGCCCCTCCTCTGCTGCCCCAAGCTCAGCCGTCCCTCCCCACGGTGACCTGTGGGGACAGAAGGACGTAGCACCCCCTGTGCAGGGTCAGGGCTCCGGAGCGAGCCCCGGCTGGGAGCAGCCACAGGGCACCCCAGAACCGCACAGAGCTCCGGGAGTCCCGCACTGCCCCTGCCCGATGCATCCCACGAAATCACCGCTGCGCCTGGCGGCTCGGGCAGCTGCTGCCGGAAGGTAAGTGAGCCAGGAAACCCCCTGAAACCACCGATATCTCAGGACACCTGACTAAAGAGAGTGATGAAATGACCGGATTAGGACACAACAGGGCAATTAAACCCATTTTACAAACACACCAAACCAACTAGTGGTCAGTCGGCAGCAGGCAAAGCCAGTTTAGAGCAGATATAAGCCAGCAGTACCTTCTATTTGTGATGCTAAAATGTGCAACAGCCTTTGAATCCTCCCTATTTGCCTCTCTAAATGCTTTCAAAGTGACACACATACCAGTACAAAAAGGCAAGAATCACAGCAGCACTAGCTGGCCTGACATACTCAGCCTTAGATTCACATTCATAACTCAGGTTACATTAAAACCCAGTGTACTGTTTCCAATATAGAAAAACAGAAAAATCCTAAAAATTAAAATCTGTTTGTGACAGAAAACATATGATGAATGTTCCTAACAAGCACCTGTTTTCCCTGAGGAGCACAGAGATTTGGGCAGTTGCCAGAGGAATGATTATGTCAGAAAGCTGGTGTCAGTTCACACAGCACTATTTTTTCACAATACCTGTTATACATGGGTTAAAGGAAAGGACCATAGAAGAAGGAGGCAATGGGTTAAGATAACCAGATAGAAAATTGGTTTTGTGGAATGAAAATACAGTTTTGTCTCTGTAAAGCATAAAATTTTCAGTGATTTTACAGAAATATAATTGAGGGATTTCAAAGCAAATCCAATGGTTGGAACATGTCCACATAGATTCTTTTTGATAAATTATTTTCATTTTTACTTCACATTTTTAATTAGAATATTCATTAGAAAATGAAAAAACTGCCACTCCAACAAGACACCACTTAGTCTTGCAATGAACACAATGATGAGTTATGCCTATGGATTTCATTGAGGCAGCCAGAAAATGCATTTTATATCAGT